AACCCCCCCCCCTCCCTGAAAACTCATGTTTAATTTGTTTTAAGTTCGTTGAATTTGATGTGCTCTGTCCAAAGAGGTGCAATTATTTGACGTACTGCTGCACTTCATACAGAATGAGGCCTACCTGAGAAAGCTGGGACTGAGTGTCACTGAAGCTGTTCTTCAAGCTCTAAACAATTCTGGATATGCTAATGTTACAACTCCGAAAGTCATGATTCAATCTAATGACAGTGCTACTCTGAGAAATATCACAAACAAGAAATATGAACTTGTTTACAGGTTAAAGGAGGACATACGTGATATTGAGAACTCAACTATTTCGGAGATAAGGAGCTTTGCAAGTTCTGTAATCATAAGCAAAAAATCTGTGTTTCCAACAGATGATCAATTTCTGATCGAGCAAACACACGTTGTAGCAAAGATGAAAGAGGCCAAGCTTAAAGTATATGTGCAAGTCTTCAACAATGAGTTTGTATCTCAAGCATGGGACTTCTTCTCTGATCCATATGTGGAGTTAAACAGCTATATTTTCGGTGAAGCTCCTATTGATGGTGTTATAACAGCCTTCCCAGCCACGGCCGATAAATACAGACGTAAGTAAATAACTGTCAATTTTAGTTTTAGACTATGACACGCGAATACTAGGGTGGAGCTGTGGAGGGGAGGGTTAATTCTCTCTCTCTCTCTCTCTCTCTGCGTGTGTGTGTGTGTGTAACAACAAACCCAGTAAAAAGCCCACGAAAGTAGGGTTTGTGTACCCAGACCGTACCCCTACATAGACAGTAGAGAGGCCTGTTTCTAAGAGACTTTACAATAGTACGGACTACGGACAAAGAAAACACATTAGCACGAACTACTACGTAAGAGCACATACACAAGACACCGACATACCAACACTAGCAACAAGACCTAAAGCACAGNTCCCTCCCCAATTTGTTTATAGAAATGCCTTGTTAATCAAGAATTAGGCTTGTAGCATGTTTGGTAAGGGTAAATCTGGCTGCATTTGCTGAACTCTGGCTGATAATGTGATAGAGCATACAATTTGAACTAGGGATAGTCCAAAAACTAAAGTGTTATGATGGAACCTAGGGAGCATAAAATTTGATCAAAATTATAACCAACTACTGCCTCACCTCAGACCAGAAACAACATACGTATCAACAGAATATGCCATAGTACGAAATGGTGCACAAATACCTTTGTTTATTGTATAATACTCCGTATCTCGTAGTCGGTGCAGAGTAGTGTTTATGTTCAATCACCCAACTTTTGTTTCATCACTAACCACTTTAGTGCACAAGTCAAATAAATTAGCGTTTGACAGACTCTAGTTGACAAGGACTGCCAGGTTCTCCAAAGCATTCCCCCACATCAAAACCGACCTTAATAAACCATCGTTGTTTGTGCCTTGTGGAGATGTCTACACTAGTTTGGTTTGCAATCTAACACTATGTTTTTTGTATTTCACAGGCTGCCCATGTCTGGGGTACAAGGAATTACCTTCCTACATGTTACCAGTTCAACCAGGCAGTCTATTTCAACTCATACCTCCTACTGCTTTGCCACCAGCAGAAGCTCCCAACGCTATTCTCACAGAGAGTGATGTGCTGCAACCAGCCCTGCCACCGGTTTCCAAAGTTTCTCCTCCTCCTCCTCCTCCACCACCTTCTGGCAGTGCATCAGCTCCACCGCCCAAAGCTCCTCCCAGCGGGCAGCCCTCAATCACCACCTCTGGCATTTCTGCGATCAGCATGTGCATTCTTCTTCTTCTCTCGGTCTTGGTGATCTGCTGATCAAATCGTGGTTTGGTCGGGTCTATGTACAACTTGTATCTCCATCTGCTACATCTCCATTCACATTTCTATGTATAAATATTCAATGAGGTTAGTTTAATTAGATTCCACCTCGGGAAACTTGTGATTTTCCTATCATCATGTGTTCACTCCATATTTCCTCCTTCATCGTCCTTCTTCATTTGGTTCTTTTTATTTTTTTGCTGGCGATTTATTATTATTATTATTATTATTATTATTATTATTATGATTATTATTACTATGGAGTATTATTATTTTGTTATGACATAACATTGTATGAGCAGGGTGTTCAATTAATTTATTTGTTCAGTTGAAGATGGCTTCAGGGTTCTAGTTGCTCTCCCGTGCATGTGATTCCATTGCAAGTGTGAAAATCCCTTTCTCCTGCAATAGAGTTTAGTGTAAAAGACTAACACTATGTTTGGTTCAAAGAATTAGAAAGAAAAAGAAAAGAAAATAATTTTCTCTCATTTTCTCCATACCAAATTGGGGGAAATTTTGTTTCTCTTCTCTTACTTCATTTGCCTTCGTATTATCTTTCCCTTCCACTTTTTTTTCTTTTTCTCTCTAACCAAACAAAAAAAATTATTTTTTATCTTATTTTCTTTTGTTTTCCCTTTTAAATTCCTTGAACTAAACATAGTGTAAATTAGTGTTAAAATAGAGAAAATATATCAAAATAAAAGTTTCATATACTCCGTATTTATTTATGAAATAAGAGTTGAAATGCTTATACGATGTCAATCATGATCATATATACATTACAAAAAAGTATTGTAAAAGTCTCATCATTATTTGTATCTCAAAATTTTTCAAAATGTTTAAATTTAAAAAAGACTTTAACATTGAAATTTCAAATGTATATTGTAGAAATTTCATTAGCAAATGTTACTACCTCCGTCCCATTTTATAACGCCTGTTTCGGTTTACGATGTTTGACTGAAATTATTTTTAAACCATTTTATATGACAAATGGTATAGAATTAAAAAATAAAAATTACATATTAAAAAAATTACATCAAAAATTCTACAAAACTAGTAGTGACAATAATATTTTATTTTATCAAATTGCTAACGAAAATAGAAAAAGAAAGTGAATGAAGTTTGACCCTGTGAATAGTAAACAGGCATTATAATTTGGGACGGAGGGACTATGTCTTATCATTAGTTTAGCTTTAAAGATTGATGTTTTATTTTGTTTAATATTTGAAAAATGGTGCAGTGAAGAAAAAATTTAAAATCAGAAACAAAATTCGTTTCATCCCGTGCATGACATGAGTTAAAATACTAGTTTATTTAATAATGTTCATGCTTGTTCTTTTTTCTCTTTTAGAAAATAAATATGTTAATCTTATAATTTTTGTATCTTATTCTAGATAAATTTTAATTAGGTGTTTTCTCAATCTAAAAAATATCTTGGATCTTTTTAGAGATTGGTTGCCTCACTGCCTCGATTCCAATCAACATACTCCAAGTATGAGTTAAAAAATGTGCAAAATAATCCTTCTGTAACTTGTAAATACAAATACGAAGGATACATAATAAACACCGTACTATATAAATACATCCAAATATATATTTTCTTCCTCTCTAAGTATTTGTTTATTTTTGGCTTTTTCAGTCAAATTTAGTAAATCTTGACTTCAAATTAAATAAAAATGATGAGTATTAGATATTGATACAAAAATAATTTTGTTAGATTTATTATATAAAATATTTTCAAAATATTATTTTATCTAATTAATGTATAATATATTTTATTTAATTATGGGTCAAAGATTAAAAAACAATTGACAGAAAAACCAAAACTGGACAAATATTCAAGAAAAGAGGTAGTAATATGTATGATATCAAAACTATCGTTTCATAATATCTCTTACTATTCTAAATTTTATCATCATTCCAAAATAATTGTCTTATATTGGATAATGAAGTTTGTCTAAATTTATTTTTATATAATTTATTCAAATAATGATATACAATTCCAAAGTAAAATTTTTACTCTGTACTTTGTAAATCGATATAAAATTCTTTAACAAATGATTAAACAAAATAAGTAAAAAAAGGAATTCTATCATGGACTTCAAAAATTTACTCTTTTCATTTAATTCCAATGAAGGCTTTACGCCTTTACCCCAACTTTAGTTTAATAAAAGAATTTGCTAGAAACAAAGTATCAGACAATTAATTGAGATGGAAGAAATGGACTAAAAAGAAAGAATGAGAAATACTAGAGTCACAAACATTTCGGTCACAAAATACACAAACTTACCATTTATGTATTGAAATGTTCACTTTTTAATTATTCAACACCATTTTATTCATTTAGTGAGGTGCACAAATGACAAGGTTGTGTATTTTGTGACCGAAATGTTTGTGACTCTAGCATTTCTCAAAAAGAATTCAAGTTTGGGGTAAAGCCTTCATTTCAGTCAAAATAGTTCAAGTTTATTATTGTTATTATTATTATTATTATTATTAAAGGAATAACACTTTCACTATTTAAACATCACAAAAACTTTTCTTTATTTGTGTATTTTGATTAATTATTTGATAAAATAAAATATTCGTGTCACCTTTTATTTTGTAGAATTTTTGATGTAATTTTTAATATGTAGATTTTCTTTTTAGTTCCATATCAATCTTTACATAAAATGAATTGAAAAAAACTTGAAATTTTTACTCCCTCCGTCCTAAAATGTTCTTCCCGTTTCTGTTTACGGGGTGTGACCAACTTTATTTTCAATTCAATTTATTTGATTGTAGGTATAAAATTGAAAAATAAATTTATATATTTAAAAACTACATGAAAAGTTATACAAAACAAGAGGTGACATGGTTATATAATTTTATCAAATAACCAACGAAAATAAGTAAAAAAAATAATTAAAATTTAATCATCTGAATAATTAAGAAGAACGTTTGAAGACGAAGAGAGTATACAGTAAAACATTTTGAATCTAAATGCATTGTACTCCCTTCGTCCCTGAGTATTTGTCCACTTTTGACTTTTTTGGTCAAAATTGGTAAACTTTGACCTGAAATTTAATAAAAATGATACGGAGTATTAGATATTGATACAAAAATAGTTTTATTAGTTTTTTTATATCAAATATTTTTAAAATATTATTTTATCTATTTAATATACAATATATATTTCATTTAATTATATGTCAAAGATTGAAAATGGTTAACCAAAAAAAAATCAAAACTAGACAATACTCATGGACCGAGGTTGTAGGTTCTATGTGTTATTTCAGGAACATAATTCTAATTTTTACTCCATATTTTTAGTGAAATTTTGGTCAGACTGCCTGAGCCTGAGCTTCTCCTCAAAAGCCATCCACGGGCGACCCGGCCCGACTGACTTCATCTTCTCCAATCGTTCCTGGACTCCAACAGGGAGAGGGAGAGGGAGAGGGAGAGGGAGAGAGATGATCAACAGGACAAAGCTGAAAACCCTTCTCTCTCTCTTCGCCCTAAACTCGATCACTCTCTACCTCTATTTCTCCTCCCACGACGCCGATCACATCCGCCACAAGTCTCCGGCGAACCCCCGGTCCCATCCATCGGAAACTCGCTACAAACAATCGCATTCCCCTCCGTTTCGCACCAAACCCTGGCCGATACTCCCGTCTTACCTCCCGTGGTCCCAGAGCCCGGATGTCGCGCTCAGATCCTGCGAGGCGTACTTCGGAAACGGCTTCACGCGCCGCCTCGACCTTCTCGCGCCCTCCGATGGGGGCTGGTTCAGGTGTTTCCACAGCGAGACGTTGCAGAGCTCGGTGTGCGAGGGAGGGAGGGTTAGGATGAGTCCGGATAAGATTAAAATGTCAAAAGGAGGAGAGAAACTGGAGATGGTGATGGGAAGGGGAGAAGAGGAGGAAATGCCTGTGTTCGAATCCGGAGCGTTTGATATCCAAGTCTCGGATCCATCCAAGTCCGGGAAGAAGGTCGTGCCCCAAGGTTCCATTGGGAAATACACTATGCGGGAGTTGATTGATTCAATTCTGTTCACTGGTGCCGAAGACTTCCAATGCACAGAGGTTCGAATTCTTGTTTTTTTTTTCTTTTCGTTTTTTATTTGATATATTCAGAGATGAAGACTACTTGGAGGCTTCAGAGTTAGATCTAGTCTTAGAGTTTTATAAGTGTGCTTTGGGATCACTCCTGTGTTTCTCCCAATAAATTTGCAAGCCGACTTTCTGCAAATAATGGTTTAGGATGGAAATAGAAATATTCGGTGTGTTAAGAAAGATATGCGAGGAACACACGCTTGATGATCTTGAAGTTAATTTTAATGGAGGTTAATTATGGAATCTTATTTTACATGCTGGATATAATTGAATTACTTTAGGGCATCCCTTGGAATGAGGTTGTTATAGTTTGTTAGGACTTAGGATATAGGATATGGAGTACCATTACAAGCTCTCTTGGCCAAACAAAGGTCATTTAGGTTAGATGAATTGCTCTTAATGTTCCCAAACAACAATTTTTGTTATGTTTGTGCTTGTGTTTTAATCTTTACAAGAACATAGGAACATTCATCTCAAAGCACTTGTTTTTCTAACGTGTGGAATCTCTTTGTCTTGACGTGTTTTGCGACTCTGAAAAAATTGTATTGTTTCAGTGGATTGAGGAGCCAACACTTCTGGTGACACGCTTTGAGTACGCAAACCTTTTCCACACCTTCACGGATTGGTACAGTGCATATGTGGCATCCAGAGTCACTGGCTTGCCGAGTCGACCTCATGTTGTCTTCGTGGATGGCCACTGTGAGGTATGCCTCCATTAGATGACCCCCTCTATGAATGTTCTGCCATGTAGTTTCAACCCAAATTTTTTGGTAATTGTGGTTGATTTGCTTATTCTGCTTACATTCAAAATAAGTAAGCTATTGATTTACTTATATGGCTGAAATGGATTACCAAATGCATTTCCCTTCCCAAAATTTGGCAATCATTTCTGCGACATAGCCTTGTCAGGGAAATCTTAAGTAGATAGCAACAATAAACCAAGTATAATCCCAACTTTCATTGAGTCTGATGGTCAAGATGCACACAGCCTTACCCTGAAAAAAATAGAGTTTGTTTTCTTTATACGTTTGATGCGTTGCTGCATTTAGTCCAAAATTGCATAGAGAGTAACAAGAATGGAAGTTTAATGTGCCATTTAGTAACGACAACAACATTACCCCAGTGCCTCAATGGCTCCTGCCCATTGCGGGGTAAGGGGGGTCGGATGTATGCAGTCTGACCCCTATGTTTAAAACATAGAGCGGGATGACCCATGATGAGCGTCAAAAGTTGCATTGACTAACTGCTACTTCACAATTGCAAGAAGTGCAAACAGTTTAAAGACCCAATTTGCTTTATTCCGTCATACCCCAAAGCCAAAAGATAGTGAATCTTTGGCTCCATAGGGGAATGGAAATTAATGTGCCATTTAGTAAATAAATGAAATTTAAATTTTAACTCATGCTCGAACTGGGCTTTTTTTTCGAACAGATGCAGTACTAAATATCCTTAAAAAATGATTTATTTCAGGCCATTTTCTGTCTTCCCACTTGTTTTCATCATAGTTCAACAACATATAGGTTTACATGATCCTAACAAATTTACACTACACTTGAGCAAGTCACTCTTAGAATTGATTTCCAAACCCTATTTAGCCATACTGATATTTTCTCCCATGTATTGTGGTATCATATTTATGTCCCCTTTGCTATAAAAATTCTCAGACACAATTGGAAGAAACATGGAAAGCACTGTTTTCAAGCATCAGATACGCAAAAAATTTCAGCGGTCCTGTTTGCTTCCGCCATGTCATTCTCTCACCCTTGGGGTATGAGACAGCCCTCTTTAGGGGCCTCTCACAAAATATAAACTGCCAAGGAGCTTCGGCCCATGAACTGTGGCAAAACCCAAACGACAAGAGAACCGCGAGGTTGCATGAGTTTGGGGAGATGGTAAAAGCAGCCTTTGGGTTCCCAGTGAATAGACTAAACAACCCCTTGAAGCCTGTTTCAGGTCACAATATTCTCTTTGTTCGGCGCGAGGACTATTTTGCCCACCCCCGTCACAGCGGGAAAGTGCAGTCGAGGCTTAGCAACGAAGAAGAAGTGTTTAATTCGGTCAAAAACTGGGTGGCATCATCATCATCATCATCAAGACAATTGAAGTGCAAGGTGAATGTAGTGAATGGGCTGTTTGCACACATGTCGATGAAGGAGCAAGTTCGAGCAATACAAGACGCCTCCATCATCGTGGGGGCCCACGGGGCGGGTCTTACCCACATCATATCCGCGATGCCGAGGACGGTAGTTTTAGAGATTGTTAGCAGTGAATACAGACGTCCCCATTTCGCCCTCATCGCGCAATGGAAGGGTCTCGAGTATCACCCCATTTTCTTGGATGGGTCCCACGCCAATCCCCCTGTCGTGACTGACAAGCTCCGCAGCATTTTGAAAAACAGCTTCGAATGCTGACCTTGCAGGCTCTGCCGCTGCTTCAAAATTGATTGATGGCTAACATATACAGGGCAAGATTACGAAAACCCAATGGGGAATAGTCTCAGTTTTGGCTATCTTCAATCTGTGTATTTGCAGTGTATCAGTCCGTGTAGTCAGTAGTGTAATACGTACTTCATCATTTTAGCTACGAATACATTTTCAAAAGAAATTAAATTATACGAATACGTTATTTACCGTAAAAAAAGAAGTGGTCATTTTTTTCTACTGGACGGTTCTCATGACGTTGCCCGACAATGTCATGGGATGACCCGTGGGTGCTCCGGTGTACCGTTTGTAAAATTGACGGTTCTTACCCTTCGGAACTTCCGGTAAATCCCCTCACCCTGCCTCGACTCGAACACACCCCCACCCCCTTCAAAGTCAAAATTAAATTGTGAGGTGCAATTGAAAGGGGTGGGGGTGTGTGTGTTCAGGTCGGGGCAGGGTAGGGGGTTTACCGGGGGATTCGGAGGGGTAGAAACCATCAATTTTACGAATGAGGCACCAGAACGTACCCGGGTCATCCCACGGCATGAGATTCCAATATCATTGAAACCCCACCGTTTTTTCAATATATAATAGATATACTTCCTCTGTCTTGAAGTTAGTTCAATATGTAACTTGATTCGGTTACAAACAAGTGAAACAACAATAATCCGCTAAGAATAGTAATAATTCCACCCTTGATGTCTAGATTAATGCAACTATGCTACTCGGGAATATTGGTTCTGGTGTGCATTTGGTGTTAAATGCTTGGGGTCTCCCTAGCATTTTTTATTTTAAAAGTAGATAGATTTTTGTTAGATCTTAGATATATTATTCCATGTATTGCCTGAGATTAGGGGTGGACGGTTCAGGTTTTTAGTCGTTTGGGCTTATAGAATCGGGCTGGAACGGCTTGGAACACTACGTTGTCCTATTTTGTTCCGCTCGTTTTGAGATTGGGACAATTCGAAACTAATTTGATTTTTTAAATAAAATGTGAATATAAAAACTTTGTACACCGTAATATGTGAAGCCCTAAAATAATCCGAATATTTTATATAAATATCTTTAATAAATCATCAAATAAAGTGTAACAAAAACATTTTTTAGCAAAAAAATTGCTAACTACATTTTAGTTTATAAAACATATAAGCTTTTATAATCATGTCACTCTTGTTTCGTAAAGCTTTTCATGTACATTTTTTACTTTGTAAAATGTAAAGTTTATTTTTTAATTCCGCAGCAATTCTTTAATAAATTGTATTGAAAATAATTTTAGCTAAATATTATAAATCAAAACAGACTATTAAAATTGGGATGAAGGGCGTAAACAAATATGTAGTAGATAATTGTTTGAGTCTAGACAATAATGTATGTGTCTCGATAAATAAAGTGCATGACCTTCTTCTCGTTATTTTGTTTGTATAAACAAATAAATATATTTATTCATATATTTTCTAACCGGAATAACTAGACAAAATGATTTTCTCCTGTTCATGTTACAATTTAATCCTGTTCAAGATGGTTTTGGAAAAAAGTTTGCTGACACAATGAAAAAAGACATTATAATGTCGAAACAACGATTCTTCCCGACTTGAGTTAAATATATTTTCAATCCCTGTAAAATAGATAAGCTTTATTTTTTATTTTTTAAATATTTTTTTGTTGAAGTCACCCTTATAATATTTTTTATTTCGATAGTAATCCTTACACATAATTAAGACTTCTAATTTCTTCAAATAACTTGTTTATTTCGTAATCAAGATCTTAGTCATGCATTTCTAATCAACTCGAACACAATTTTCATGTCTTAAAGAGTATCCTTCTGTTCGAAAATGTTTTGATAGGTTGATTTGGCACCCTTATTTAGGAGTATGAAAAAAAGTGCAAAGGTTTGAAGAATATTCCTAGTTTTTACACTTTCTTCATTTAAATTTAAGTTGACATTTATTTACTATTTACATGGTCAAATTTCATTCACTTTGTATATTTATTTTTGCTACTTATTTAATAAAATAATATAATCAAGTTATCTCTTATTTCATAAAAGATTTAATCTTATTTTTTTTATAACAAGCAAATTTTATTTTGAACTCTACTCCAATTTTCAAATAAGTTGTATGGAAAATAGTTTCAATCAGACATCATATCTGAAACAAATGATTTAAAGAGATGAAGTTGCTCATTTTCTCATTCAAAAAACAATAAAAAGTATTGGTGTGTTAACAAAAATTAATTTTACATCAACATAAAATTTTGGTACAAAACTGGGGCAATGTACACAGTGGGGACACAAACTTAGTTACTAGGGCAATATTTCATACGGAGTATTTATAAACAAAATCTTTCGCACAAGATAACAAAAGGGCGAAGGAGATCGAAGAAGATCAGAGAAGATATGGAATCGGTAGATGATTTCAGAAGGATGACAAAGCTCAGGGAGTGCGTTTTCGGACTTGTGGGAGACGGCTTCGTGATTGCGGCGGCGGATGCGTCCCCGGGGTACAATTTCACCGGCGACAATACCACCGAGGATAAGATCACCGTCCTCGATTCTCACAAGCTAGTCGCCGCTGTTGGTTTCCCGGCGGACAGGTCTCACCATTCATCTGATTTGATTTGATGTTAGGGTTTCTTCGTTTTTTTGAGTTATTCTTGTTTTTTAATATTAATAATTAATAATTTCAGTACTCATGTAGGCATAAGATCATGCATTCCATAGAGGATAACTGGGATGGGATCACTTGGGCCACTGAGTCCACCGCCAATTTCATCCGTGCTAAGCTCAACAATGCTTTGAACAACGGCGAGGTTTGGATTCCGTCTTCCCATTTCTGTTTCGAAAGACTGTTTTGATCAATTGTAGATTTTTGGGATGGGCTAGGTCTTCTCCTTGCAGATAAGCTCTGTGTTTGTGATATCATGCTTAAAAATAGCATGTATCTCCATTAACTCTTGTCTAAGTACATCACACTGTCTATGCATATCCTTTAGTTTATGCTTATTCGATGTTTTTAGATGTTTCTCAAGCAATTTGAGCTTCGGACAGAGCCAAAGCACAGCCCTACCTTGAATGTTGTGTTTCCATTTTTAGGACTCCAGTATTATACTTCTACATCCTCCTGCCTTGACCCTGTCTCTTAGACCCTTCCTTAGGAATCTCTTCCAAACCACAGTAAAAAGCACACTGCTTGAAAACTTGGATTTCATCCCCAGTTACAGATAGGCCACCAATACTGTCTTCAAACTTTAATAGAACACTATTAAAATCTCCTATTACAACCCATGCCCCTAGGACCTTCCCATCAACTGTTAGTCAATGTGTCCATGCCTTAAGACTCTTCCTCAAAGATTTTTGAATCCACTAAATCCCGGTCTCTTGAACTCCATCAAAGCACCACACTAGTTTGGCAAACAATCCTTGCCAATATGATTCAACCCCAAAATTTCACAATATCAATCTCGAACCGCTTACAATGAAGATTTGAAGGTTATCTTCTACCTTTCCCCCCAAGGATTTCTCAGCTATCCTTAACCATGTACACAAGGATCTATATGGCTATCCCTGACTGTTTCAATGAGTGAAAGTCATGTCTAAAAACATGAAAAAATGTTCAAAACCTTTTGGCCGGTGAAGAATGGAGATTTTTTTATCTCAAACAATGCAAGATCAACCTATAAATGGGAGAGTATAGATGGTTAACTGACCGTCAAGAGACAACTGAAATTCTTAAAGTACCAGAATAAGGAAAATCTTAAAGTTGGCTCGAAATCCTGTAATCCTTTCCCAAAATAGGAGAACCAATACTTCTGAAATATTTCCACCCCTACCACACAAACTCGATCCACCAAAGCCGGTCCGTGCACAGAACCCATTTTTCCCATCAATGAAATCCGATTTGCTATTTTCGGATGAATGGATTGTCCCAAAAATGGACAAGTAAATCTAGACGGGTTTTGTTTTTTGAACTCTTACCTGGGTTGAAGGTAATCTTGAAATTTTACAATCGCTTGTGATCTTTATCTTAATACGGAGTAGAAGAATTGCTTAGGTGGTGAAGTGGTAGTCTTTGTATTGGCCAGTGTAAAAATTAAGCAACCTTTCATACAGGAGATCTCTTACTTGCTCGGTCAAAGTGTTGTATACTTGTATTCCTCTATGAAGGACAGAGAGCTATTTTCTTGAGATGTCAGTCCATTGCATATGTGCTACATGAAGTAAACACGATGCGTATGCAAAATTAATTTCCGGATATGCTCTAGAAAAGTGGGGGAATGATTTTATTCTTGAAGCTCATCTTGTTTTTATGTTTCACATGAGCAATGGATGACAAGTTAATTTGGTTGCGACTTTGGTTAGGTTGAGAGGTTGAGCATGCTAGTCGCGGGCTATGACGAAGTGGAAGGCCCTTCCCTTTACCATATTGACGGCAATGCTTCAATGAAGAAGGTTGAGAAGGGGGTTTTTGATGGCAATGGGTGCTATTATAACCTCCGAATGGTGAACAATCGGTACGATAGAAGAATGTCACTAGAAGATGCAATTCGTTTGGTCGATGATTGCATGGCGGAACTAAAATCGAGGCGGGTTATGAAGACACCATACTATGGTGTCAAGATCGTTGACAAGGATGGAGTGAGAGTACACATCCCAGTTCAGAATTGTGTGATTCGTTCTTCCCGCTAATTTTTCCACCATTATCGTTTTGGTGGAAGAATTGATTGTGAAAAAGATGGGTGGTTTTCCCGAACTACCGGATCTATCTAGTCTAGAACCATATATGATTTCCAAAAATTACTATAAATGTGTGATATTGTGATTCTGATGCTTTCATGTCTTTTTCTTGCAAGTGGGATGTCACAATATATGTGGTCCTAAGATGTCCAATTTTATTTATCCGTATTTCATTAAGCTCCTCTCTAAGAATCTCACATTGGTGGTGGATGTGTTGTGCCATGTAATAATAAATTGCTATCTACGCTCCATTTCACTTTTAAAAAGTGTAAGATTCAAGGAAGGGATATGCTAAGGGTACACCAAAGGTGTACCTCAAATGTACACGACCCCCTTCTTTGCAATTCATTTTATTTTGTTTTTATTTTTTTACTTTTTTTTTTTGAATTTTTCTTGCCTTTTTTTGTGTGGTGATGGAGGGGGTGGGGGATGTTTGGGGTACACTTTTGGTGTACCCCTAGCATTTTCCGGAATGTTTAATCTTGGTGATGCTTTTTGAATTTTATCCTTTATAGTAGTGTCAGATATGATATGATAAATAAATTAATAGTGAATATATAATGTAATATGTTGTTATATATGTGTGTGTGTGTGTGATGTGATTAATAGGTTGATAGTATGGCTAAAAGAGAAATTTTAGCTGAAAGTCGAGTGTTTTTTTTTTAACGGGTGAAAAGTAAAAGTAGTAATATCTTTTGAACAATATAGGTTTTTTAGACTACATCTTTTCATATACTTTACTCATATTTTGGTCTTTTCCTATGTTTTTATTGTAAAAAAAATAATAGAATGTACATGAATCTGTGCGAAGTACGAGGTTAACGCTAGCAAGATCTTTATGTCATTTTGCTTGATGGAACCAGCTCACTTTATGCGGTTCTTTATGAGATCTAGGAGAACATTTTCATAAATTTCAACTTTTTTTCTTCCCTTTTCCATGAATCAATATCAATATCAATCAATATTATTCTTAAAAAGGAGGGGAAATTTGACTATCCATTTTCCCACCCAAATGCACATACGTTGTGCACCTTCAATTAGCGTTAGAATCTTGATCAATGGTTAATGTTTATCTTTAAAGCGTTTTCATATATAATCGTGCTTCACAATTAATAAATATTTACATGTTTAATAATAAATAATAATTATGCTTATGACAAATTATACTATGGTATTTCTAATTATGTATGAACGTTTCCATATATAACTATGCTTAACATTTAATAAAGATTATATTAATTAATATTAAAATTGCGCTTTTGACATATTCTATTATGGAAACTTTAATAACATCAAAGCGATTAATAAAAGTTGGGAAATTTACTCAAATATTACTAAAATATAATGACTCCTCTAAATAGAATCATGTGTGTTTTTTTCCAATGTAGAACTTTTAGTCATTATCCATCAGTTATTATTCAAGTAAATGTTCGCTATCACTAGATATTATTCCTCCATTCTTAACATTATTAAGTGCTATTTTGGAATAAATTTGCTATTTTGGTAATTAATTTCTCTTGCGACACGTTATCACTTTTTAGAGAGGAAATAAATTTTTATTACTTTTTAATTAAAATTTTGGTAATAAACTGACATATACATTATTAAAATAAACATAATGAATAAATAATAATAAATTAAAATTTTAATTTTTTAATATAATTACTTAACATTATTACCTTTTATGAAAATTGATAAAATTTAGCCCAACAACTAAAGCGTGCAAAGAACATTTAAATAATATGAACAGTATATAAATTCTTACACCTAGCAAAAAATGACTTGTTTTTTTACCTGAAACTCAACCTAAAAACATTGGGTTTGAACAAAGGTTTTGATGACCGAACTCGAAGTTGACCGAAATTATTATTGCGAAATTACATTGCTCTAACTCCAAAATTAACACCAACATGATAGATGATAAAAAAGGATCATTTATGGAAGGATACCCATAAAAGAAAGATCAAATATTTGATAATAAAAGACTGAATTAAGAAACTCTCTTGTTTTAAAAGATCAATTATGAAATTTACTCTGCAAATTTTGAAACTAGAGCAATAGTTCATATTTATAAACCACGGGTAAACTCTAAATTAAATAGGAAATCAAATCGACGAGGACAGAATCGTTCGCAGAAGATAAAGCTGCGTGAGGGAAAGCAAAAGGGCGAAGGAGATCGAAGAAGATCGCAGACGGAAAATGGAATCGGTAGATGATTACAGAAGGATGACAAAGCTCAGGGAGTGCGTGTTCGGACTTGTGGGAGACGGCTTCGTGATTGCGGCGGCGGATGCGTCCACGGGGTACAATTTCACCAGTGAAAATACCACCGAGGATAAGATCACCGTCCTCGATTCTCACAAGCTAGTCGCCGCTGTTGGTTTTCCGGCGGACAGGTCTCACCATTCATCTGATTTGATTTGATGTTAGGGTTTCTTCGTTTTTTGAGTGATTCTTGTTTTTTTATATTGATTCGTACTCATGTAGGCATAAGATCATGCATTCCATAGAGGATAACTGGGATGGGATCACTTGGACCACTGAGTCCACCGCCAATTTCATCCGTACTAAGCTCAACAATGCTTTGAACAACGGCGAGGTTTGGATTCTGTCTTCTCATCTCTGTTTTGTAAGACTGTTTTGATCAATTGCAGATTTTTGGGATCGGCTAGGTCTTCTCCTTGCAGATAAGCTCTGCGTTTGTGATGTCATGCTTCAAAATAGCTTGTATCTCCATTAACTCCTCTCTAAGTGCATCACACTGTCTATGCATATCCTTTGGTTTATGCTTATTCGATGTTTTTAGATGTTTCTCAAGCAATTTGAGATTCAGACAGAGCCAAAGCACAGGGCTACCTTGAATGTTGTGTTTCCTTTTTTAGGACTTCAGTATTATACTTCTACAATCTGCATCCAATCAGCATTGCTAAATGCCCAATCAATTTTAGAATAGATCCTCCTGCCTTGACCCTGTCTCTTAGACCCTTCCTTGGGAATCTCTTCCAAACCACAGTAAAAAGCACACTGCTTGAAAACTTGGATTTCATCCCCAGTTACAGGTAGGCCACCAATAGTCCAATACTGTCTTCAAACTATAATAGAACACTATTAAGATCTCCTATTACAATCCATGCCCCTAGCCTATGTAGCACTGAAAGGGAAACGGGGACGGACATGAAACAAAACGGACACGCCGAAACGGCTATTTTGAAAAAATGAAGAGACGAAACGCCGCGGAAACGCTAAATTTATATATAAAAATTATATATATATATATATATATAATTATGTAAAAAAATTCACAATACATAACATAATTTAGTCATTACAAAACATATTAAAGTATAAGTTCACAAGACATGTCCCAATCTAGTCATTAAAAAACATATTAAAGTATAAGTTCAAAAGAGATAGCATGATTTAGTCATTACAAAACATATTAAAGCATAAATAAGTTCAAAATACATAACATAAATTCCCAATCCTCAAGCATGGACCATATCATCATCTTCATCATTGCCATGAGCATTATCTTCACGAGTCTTGTATAACATCTCCTCTAGAACAGGTTCATCAAGCGTAAGATTAGCAACACCAAGACTACCGACATCATCCAAGTCCTCAAAAGAATCTCCAGCGATATCCTAAAACATTGTTTCTCCTTCACTATATTTTGGCGACCTTCTTGCGAGAAGTCAAAGATTACTATGGATGAACACCAAGTCTTCCGCCCTTTGAGGATTCATCTTATTTCACTTTGCAGAATGAATGAAAGCATAAGTACTCCAATGCCTCTCAGAGCAAGATGAAGACGATGGCTGTCCAAGGACCTTTAATGCCAAACATTGAAGCATAGGTGCATTGGCCCCATATACTAGCCACCAATCTCTTGGTTCCATCTCTCCAATTTCCCTCATGCATTCACCATCACCAAATTCTCCTTGACAACCTGAAAATTGAGCATACTCCACTCTCACCTTTGATCGTTCCATAGGGTCATCAAAGTATCTGTTGCATTTATTTCTCTCTCGGGTCACTTCAACATCTCTGTGTGGAGGCACTCTGGAAGGATCTTTATTGAGCCACTGAAGACTATAGTACCTAAAATTTTGTAAATTAATACTATTTCAGAAACATGATTACACAATTAGTATTTTAAATTTGTAATCTTCAAAGAATATGGTATGTACTATGTAGTTACATACTTACATACCTTGGGTTCAAAGAAAGAGCCAAGCAATGAAGTGGAGTGTTGTTTTTGTTCTCCCTATCCACTAGTATTGTGTGGATAACATTGAAAAAGCTTGACTCCCCATGACTTTGTCTATGTTCATGTTTAAAGATAACCCCTTTCACCTTCTCAATCATTGTGTCCCACACACATATCATAAACCAAGTGCAAACAAGGTATATCGGTGTCACAATAACGAATCATGTCATATATGGGACCAGCGAATGCAAGAACATAATCAATCTGATCCCACCAATACATCAATTACTTTGTTTTTCAAGAAATTAGCTATTTGGCCATCAACTTCTCTGTAGGCATTGCATTTATCACTCATTATCAAGCGTTGAAGTGCACGCTTAATGAGCTTAAATCTCTTGAGCATCACAATAGTAGAGGCAAATCAGGTTTGTGCCACAGGCAACAATTTCAATGGCACAACTACATTATACATGGCCAATCTCATTGAGTGTTTGAGGATGTAATTCTTCATCACCATAGCATCTCCTGCTATATGAGATATCCAATGGCAAGCATCATATACAATCTCATTGCTCTCAGTATTTTTGGCCGCACATATATTTTTCATAGCAAGATTTAAAGTATGCACCACACACGGAGTCCACATGATGTGTGGGAACTGTGCCTCAATAAGTTGACCAGCCGCCTTACAATTTGCTGCATTGTCTGTGATCACTTGCACTACATTGCGAGGTCCAACTTCATTGATCACATCCTTCAACATTTGAGCAATGAAGTTGTTGTCTTTCACTTCACCTGATGTGTCTTTCGCTTTAATAAACATAGCCCCATGAGAATTTACTGCCAAAAAGTTAATCAATGGCCTCCTTTGTGGGTCACTCCAACCATCACTCACAATAGTCACTCCTTTCTCCTGCCACGTGTCTCTAATGGGACCCAACAAGCTATCAATGTGTGACCTCTCCCTTTGAAGCAATGAAGTCCTTAGCATGTTGTAACCTGGTGGTACATATCCATCAAGGTTGTGGCTTGTGGCATATTGGATAACTTCCATCCAAAACTGATTTCTAGCAAAGTTAAATGCTAAACCAGCAGAGTAAAACATCCTCGCAATCAAAAGTGTCAAGTGCTCTCTTTCATGCATATTAAACTTCTTAATGATGGGTTGTTTTTGAAACATCCCCACTGCCACTTCCAAGACCACCACTTAAGCTTTCCAAAGCCTTCCTCTTCTTTAATTCATCCAATTTGCTGCTGCACGAAGAGTCTACAGATGATATGGAAGGAGGCAGAGGCACACTCTTTGGTCGGCATTAGTAATTCTTGTTTCAGCCTCTTCTACCTCTGTAAGCAATGCTGCAAGAATTGGTCCTTTCACTTCCTTGCAACAACTTATTCCTTTGTTTGGTATCTTCAAGAGATGGGCCTTCACCCCTGTGTAAGATCCCTGAAACTCTTTGGTACAGAATTTACATCTAAACCGAAAATTACCTCCACCACTTCCAAACCTTTGCAACTTGATTACATGGTTCCACATAGGCTTGTTCTCCTCAAATTCATTCAAATCATCAACAGATTCAGCACCATCATTTGACATTTTTAACGGTATTTTTGGAAGAAAAAGTATATGAATTTCACAAAAAAATCCAGAAGTCACTGACCAGCGGCGTAAGCTTCTCCCTTTGTTGGAGAGAACACTTCACCTGATGTCGCACCCTTTGTCGGCGAGTAGTTGGCCAACCAGCTGCGTAAAGCTTCTTTGAGGGCCGCTGTCTATTGTCGATGTATATGATAGCCGCGTAACATAGAGGAGCGATGGAGATTTAGGGCCACTTAATACTTTTTATAATTTGAGTCAGTTCCAAAACTTTTAAAATCTATAAAAAGAACCCCATTTTTTTAAAAAGAGGTGTCACTGCCGTTTCCCAAAAGAGACACGCGTATCCCAGCCGTTTCCATGGCGTTTTTTCTCTTTTTTAAAATTAAAATTACAGAAACGTCACGTGGAGTTTCCGAGACGTCTCCAGGCGTGTCCGTGGCGTGTCGGCATGTCCAAGGTGTCCGAAACGGGTACGGCAGCCTATATGGAGTTTTCGTGCAAGATTGCGTACTGGTCAATCATCAGAGTGGGCACCATGCTAGGATCCCAAAGAACCCAGATTCTCCTTAAATAGTGTTCCTTGATGTTAACCACATACTTCCAAGTTCCAACTTCTAAACAAATTTCCTTTAACTACTTTTATATTATCAACTCAAACCTGTCTCCAATAACTCCATAAGTCCAACCTTATTATTTTATATAATTTTTCTTTCTTGTACTTTATTGGGGCTATTTAGTGTCCTCATGTTCCTGCATCCTGTCATGAAAGAAAAGGATAATGCCTCGCATATGGAGCATTCTGAAATAAACTATTTGTCTATTTATTAAGGAACCCTCAACTGCATCATTAACTTCAAGATTTATTGTCTTCGCAGATTTCCCTTTGCTCATAGCCTTGAACCCATCTCCAGTTTCCTCCTTACCTTTAAGCACTAATTGCTTGCCTTTTTCTCGGGGATACCTTCCTCCTTTGCTTTATCCATGCCTCTAGCTGTCCCCTTTGGTCTCCACACTATTTCCCCTCTTTCTCTAAGTGGATTCTTTTCTTTCTTTTATGTAGTCCTTTTGGGAGTGACCTATCCTCTTACAATGATCACAGAGTCTTGGGCACCATTCATGTTCCACCCGTTGTGTAACAGCCCTACTCTCCTCATTTATGGAAATGATTTGGTCAGGGAAAGTCTGATTCATTGTCACCTCCATTAGTATCCAGGCATAGCCCAGCTTAGAGTCTTAGACCTCGTAGCAGTTGCTTTATCCCTCCTAACAGGTTTCCCAATAATGCTTTCTTTTTTACTCAAGCGCTGTCACACTCCAGTACTTCAAATCAAGGTCAGGGAACTGCACCCATATTGATATGTCCACTAAAACATCTAGACCAACCTTTCATCCTGGCTTCCACTTTTGTACCGGGACTGGTTTGTTATCTAGGAAATAGTATTTCCCCTTGGCAACCTCATCTCTATACTTTCTTCCTTTGCAAACATAACAATGGATTGGCCTTCTCGAAGTAACGAGACCTCCTCAATGTCAAAGTTCCTCCATATTTGATTGAGAAATCTTTTCATTAGTTTTACCGGTGGATTTGCCCCTAGCACACTACAAATTAATATCTTTTGAACAATATACTGCCAGGGTAGGGAGGGGGGCGGGAGGGGGGGCTGGGGTGGGGGGTTTAGGGGGAGGGTTAGGGGGGGTAGGAACCGTCGTTTTTACAAAC